TGTAGCTCAAGTGGCTAAGGCGCCAGCCACATACACCTAAGGTGGCAGGTTCGAATCCAGCCCGGGACCGCCAAATAACAATGATGGCTGCAACCAAAAAATAGCCAGGCGTTGTGGCGGGTGCCTGTGGTCCCAGCTACTTGAGAGGTGGAGGCAGGAAATTCGCTTGAGCCCAGGAGTTGGAGGTTGCTGTGAGCCGTGATGCCACAGCATTCTACCCAGGGCGACAGCTTGAGGCTCTGTCTCAAAAAAAAAAAAAGAATCGATGGTAGGCCAGGTGAGGTGGGTCACACCTGTAATCCTAGCACTCTGGGAGGCCAAGGCAGGTGGATTGCCTGAGCTCAGGAGTACGTGACCAGCATGGGCAAGAGCAAGACTTTGTCTCTAAAAACAGCTAGACATTGTGGCAGGCACCTGTAGTCCCAGCTACTTGGGAGGCTGAAGCAAGAGGATCACCTGAACCCAAGAGTTTGAGGTTGCCGTGAGCTATGATGCCATGGCCCTTACCAAGGGTGACAGAGTGAGACTTTGTTTCAAAAAAAAACAAAAAACAAAAAAACAAAGGATGGCAGCCAGGTGCAGTGGCTTGCACCTATAATCTGAGCATTTTGGAAGGCTGAGGCTAGAGGATTGCTTGAGGTCAGGAGTTGGAGATCAGCCTGAGCAATATAGCAAGACCCTGTCTGTAAAAAAATTTTTTTAATTAGCTGGGTATGGTGATGTGCTCCTGTAGTCTCAGCTACTTGGGAGGCTGAGGTAGGAGGATTGTTTGAGCCCAGGAATTTTGAGTTTGCAGTGAGCTGTTATTTTGCCATTGCACTCTAGCCTCGACAACAGAGCAAAACATGTCTCAAAACAAAAGAAAACATGAAGTAGTTTTTATATGCAGATTCAGTGTCACTTTGTCTTTCAACACTGTATGTATTATTCTGATTTATGTGTTATCATTAAAATTATCCCAAACATGCAAGAAACCATTTCAAAAATTAATGTTGAGAATGATCATTTAATTTTTTTTTCAATGCTATCTTTCAGAAATGAAACCTTTAAAGAACACAAAAATATTTCATTACTCTCCTATTTGCCCAAAGCAATGAAAGTTCCTCCATAATATTTGTTGGAATGGCAAGCTCATTTTGTAAAACAGTAAGAAGGAAAGCTCAAGCTTTTTTTTTTTTGCAGTTTTTGGCCAGGGCTGGGTATGAACCCGCCACCTCCGGTATATGGGGTCAGCACCCTACTCCTTTGAGCCACAGGCACCGCCCCCAAGATCTCTCATTTTTATGTCTCAGAAAAGAGCCTAATTTGAGCCCTGAGTACTTGAAAAACTTTCTTGCCATGAGATCCTTTTAAATGGCCAGAGTGCTAGACAAATTTCACAACAGTAGAACTTAATATGCTCCCACTCACCCAAATAATGGAACAATTCTAAAAGACAGAAACAGATACTGATTTTGTATAAATAAGTGTTCCCACTGCTCCCCTGGGGGACTTAAATGAGCCAAGTGAATTAAAGACTCTCAGTTTCATTCCCATGCACAGACGCCAGTTCACCGAGTACCTCTAAACTGCCCAGCACGTGAGGTGAAATTTTGGCTGGCTTTATACAATAAATATTACTTGATAATTTGCTGAAGTCAGGAGGCTTTTTACAAGCACGGTGCCCTTCCCAAATGAAAGCACAGGCAGTAATATGCTCGGGAATCAGATTATGAAATGTTAAGTGTTAGCTGCTGGGCCAGCCAACAGTTTTAACCTCCCTCCGTATGAGAGGCAGAGATACAAGGCAGGTGGACTGCTCAATAATTAGCACCAAGTGCACAGAACAACTCCTAAGTATCTAGTGATATTTAGGAAGGCATGGGGGAACATACAAATGAGAATAATTAGGCCAAATAAGGAAACAGCTCATTACCTTCAAACCTGAAATCTTGTTATATTCACTGGCCTAACATAACTGACGATTTAAATTTCCCGATACAGAGCCCAGCACAAGAGGGCTACGTATATGTTTAGCACATGGGAAGAATGTGGGCTTGAAAGGGGTCTGAGGCGGTAGCCCAGGGCCCCTGAGAACATAGAGATACGTAGGTTCCCGTTCTTCCAGCACTCTAGCGGGGATCCTGTACCACAAATTATTTAAGGTGGCAACAGTGGTTTGGGAAGCAAGAACACCCATTGTTCGTAGTGTAACAGTTTTTGCAAACTGTGGTTCAGAAGGATTTTATGATACTAAATACAATTTGTTGAGAGGTAATGTGTTGTTTTTTTAAAAAAAAAAAACTGGAAGCAAATTTTTAAAAAACACAAAGTTATCATTTCCCTTCTATCTTTTGGTCTTTCCTTACTGTAAATGATACTGGAATTAAGTCTGTTTGAAATTTTCTAAATGCATGAGCTAGAGTTCTTAAAATGCTCACTTCAAATCCCTGGGGGTGGAGGGTGGGAGGGTGAGAGGAAGAGGGCTATCAATCTAGAATAAATGCACCAGAATTACAACCTTCTGAGTTCAGCAGATTTAAATCCCACAGAAAAAGGAGAAATTCATAAAAATAAAATTTGATACAGGCGGCACCTGTGGCTGAAAGGAGTAGGGCGCCCACTTCATATACCGGAGGTGGTGGGTTCAAACCCATCCCCAGCCAAAAACTGCAAAGAAATAAAATAAAATAAAATTTGATACATATAGGCAGCAGTGTATTTTTAAAAACAGATAACTACACAAAAGAATGGTGCTTGGGGGTGGGGTGTGCCTGTGGCTCAAGGAGTAGGGCACCGGCCCCACATACCACCACCTGGCCCTGGCCAAAAAAAGAATGGTGCTGGGATAACCATGCAGACATCTGAAAGGGAATAAAATAATTCTAACTGGCTTGAAAATTTAAATATAGAAAAGTAAAAATCATACAACGTATCTGGAGAACATAGGCTGTTCTGGTTTCTTAAGGAATCTCATAGTACAAAGGCTATTCTAAGAATGACATAAACCTATAAGCCATGACATTTCTAAACTTCTTCATGACAAAGTACGTTTAGTATTTATTTGGCCTTGTACTGCAAGCTCTAGGCTCAGCAAAGGCTAAACACAGATTAGATCAGGGGGACAGAATTCTAAGATGGCTCTCAAGACATGTTCCCCTCCCATGTGTGTGAGCAAGACGTGTGAACATGGTGGGATTTCACAACTACACTATATGGCCAAGGTGAAGGAATTCTGCAGGAATAATTAGTCCACTTTAGTTAATCAGAAGGTAGAGTGCCTGGGTGGGCCTGACCTAATAAGGTGAGTAATTCGAAAAGTGGAGACAGAAGTCAGAGACAAAATGCAAGAGCAGAAATGATTTTTGCTCATTAGCCGTGAGGACACAAACTGTCCTGTGGAGAGGGCTATGTGGCAGGAAGCTGTGGGCAGCCTCTGGCAGCTGAGGATCTCAGTTTGGCTTTTTTTTATTGTTTGGGATTCATTGAGGGTACAAAAGACTTAGATTACACTGATTGTGTTTGTTAGGTAAAGACCCTCTTGTAATTGTGTCCTGCCCCCAAGAGGTGTGCCTTACACTGCGACCCCCATCCTCCTCCCCTCTCCCTCATTCTCTTACCCCCCAACTTGTATTAGATCA